GCTGTGATCAGTTTCATCACCACTACCAGTTCCATGAATGATTGGATCTGAAGACAGGCCCTTATTCTTCACGTCCTCCTCTTCGTCTTCCTCGCTATCATCATCGTTATCATCGTCGTGTTCCGAGGGCGAGGGTCCATCATTGTCACTATCCCCCTCTGCGTCCTCGTTACTGTCTTCTTCTTCCTCCTCATCTTCATCTCCGCCATCGTCATCGTCAGCATCGTGGTTGATAAACTGGAACCCGCGGGTTCGCGATGGCGTACGGGCAGGGACCTCATCCTCATCGTCTTCGGCTTCACTTTGAGAGCTTCCAGGCTCGCTTGATGACATTTGAAGAGTCTCAATCTCTTCGTTATATCGCGTAAATACACTCTGGGCCTTCCGGTTGAAATCGTCCATTGCTCGCTTCGACTCGTCTTCAGTGACGCAGCTCTGAGTGACCTTTCGATGTTCCTCCTCTAGCCGAGCCATCTCCTGAGACCACGCTTCAAATATACCCTCGAACCTGCGTTGTCGACGGTTATACTCCTGACCGGTTCGACCATTATGCCGAGAGGACGATGGTTGGGAGGTAGTATAAGCAGGAGCAGACTGAGGAACAGGTCTTGGGGGTGGTCTTTGAGGAGTTCTGGCTGAGACTGGCAGAGGTAGTGGCGGTCGATGATTGGTGGTCGTGGCCCTGGTAGGCGTTGGGGGCTCTTGCGGGGGACGGTTTACAGCAGTTGAACCTGGTGGGGCATTCTCAAATGCATCCTCTGGGGGGATCCAAAAACCTCTGCGTCCGGTGGACTGCATACTAGGGACTAATCTCAGCGGGGTCCATGATCAGCGGAGTGGCGATAGAGTGCATACTGACCGAAAAGTAGGTGTTAAATGAGAAGAAAAGAAAGATAAGAGGAAAAGAAAGAATGAGATAAATCCCAAGTGTGGAGGTAGTGGTCCTTAGCACGACAATGCTTCCTCGTAGCACTGGGTCGCGCCTGAGGGTCGTGGCCACCCGTGACCCATTTCGAGTGTTGGCCATTGTGCCTCGTGTGATTCCCTGAAAAGATTTTAGCTGTTGTTTATATCTCTATCAATTATTCATAATATCTTTATAATTTAGTACAACGGTCTCAACGACTCTACCCTAGTTGACCAGTAGATACCACTTCCAGAACAGTCTCCGTCGCATATAGACATAGGCGCAAGCTTCGACAAAAAAAAAAGTCTAATCGTCAAAGATGACGTTATACTATCGAAAGTGAGCTCATTCCATGCACATTCAACGTGAGCGTAACCTGGGACCGGCCCACTCAGGCAATAAACCACTAGGTTATGAATCCCGAGCCAAAAGTGCATTGAGATGCCGTGCAACAATCTCTGCACCGTCTTTGACCGCAGATCGTTCGTCATCAGACTGTATGCTAGCCAAAATGCGAGCAATCTTGTCTGGATGCCATCTCAGCAATGCCTCTCGGATCCTCAGCCTGCGTGTTCTAGAATCTAGATTTGGCGAGGAAGCGAGAGAAGACTGCTGACCGGACGTCGGATGAGATGTGGATAAAATGAAGGATGAAATGTGGCCTTCAGTCAGGTGCAATTCCAGGTCAGCAGCTCGAGTGGGCTGATGTAACACTGGCCACGGGATATCCCTGAAACCGAGCCGAAGTGGTGTGGCGGTCGCCAAACTACCTGCTGGATGCGGTGCAGAAAGCCTACTCCATCGACTTTCGTATGACTCCCATGCCTCTTTGAGGCTTGGTACTGAACTCTTGTAAGTTGGTCGATTAGCTTTTGAGCCGGTTAATTTAGCGAATTCAGCAGCCAAGCGTTCCCACTCGGTGCAATCGGAGTCATCATCAAAGTTGGTTTGGAATATCTTTCGAATATCTTCCTGGG